CAAAAGAGCCATATATGACTCGCGAGCCATGGGTTGCCGACCCCGGGTCTAGGCCAATGACTGCACCTGACGCAAGTAGTCAAATGCAATACGCATAATAGGCAAATCCAGATGCCACGTGAGGGGAATTGGGAAGCTCGCCAACAGATGTGCCGAAAGAATAATAGAGACGAAGAAGACATATCGACCACCGGAAACATGCTTTTATTCGCGCTCCACCAAAGGTTTAATTGGCCCTGGTTTACTCATTTCTAATAGGTGAACTCGCTACTTATAGTTAATAGCAGAACTTTTTGGTTATAAAGCGAAATACTTTCTCAATGTGAGTTCATCGAACGAGCACTTGTGGCTTTATTGGATTAACATGCATAGCCTGCTTCACAACAAACGCACCGACTGGTAAGGTTAGATTCAGACTTGTATTTACGACAGCTCCACCGAAAATAGCTGCAGAAGCGTCCCCAAGAAGACTGTAACACAATACATTAAAAGCCCAGGACGAATCATACTATAAAAACATCGACAAACACCTGTTTAAGTGACCGGGAAAACTAAATGGCCAACGGAACAATAATACACAAAGTAAGAACAGATATAGAAAGACGGGATTAAAGCGCAGGTAGTGTTAGCCCGAACGCCGGAAGTTAGGAATGCTTTTTAGAGACGGCATCTTCGTCGTCGAACGGGATTGACGAGTTTGACAGATTGGAATGTGCGCAGCTATTAACAGCAGAAGCGCCGGCTGCGGTTGGGCGCTTTTTCGATTTCCCATAGACTTGATCGGCGAGGAGACCGGTGAAAACGAGTGCTGCTCCAAGCATTTGCAAGCGAGAAAGGGGGTGACCAAAGATGAACACTGAAGCCAAGACGGTAAAGAACTTGCGCGTTGTTGTGACAATTGAGCACATCAGAGGACTGAAGTGGACAATCGTGGTGTAGATGAACATCTAGGAATGCCGATGAAAAGGTAGATAGGGAGAAGTTAAACTGTTAGTTTATTCGACATTAAGGTTGTATCAGAAAGTTAGACGACGCAGTAAAGACTTAAACATGAGGGAAAACAACGACTTGAAACAATAAATGGTGTAGCATTTTACATGCTGTCAATGCTGTTTTACCTGGCCAATGGCGCTAACGATGCCGAATAGGAAGATATTTAGGGCGACGTTGGGGAAATTGCGCACAAAAGCAACAAAAGGCAGAGTTTCACCCGTAAGGAGAATAACTATTGAAAGTAAGAAAAACAGATAAATGCACCATCTTAAAAAGGTTACTCTAGAATAGGGCAAAATACTAAAAAATCAATTTCATGTGAGTTTGGAAGAGGATTACTTGGGTGGAAATTCGATGTTTATATGGACATAGTCTAAAACCAGGGCACGTGACATGAGACTTCGGAAAAGAACAACAACAAAACCGTTAATGTCAGGAATTGCATTCAGGACTTGTGTGAGACATACGTACCTAATGGTTGCCGCCTAGCCATTCAGCTTCCGT